TTTTTTTTTTTTTTAATGCTTGATTTTGGTATAATTTGTTTCTTTTTGTCATAGTTATTCTAGCTAAATGTTTGTCAATTCATTGGTCTTTAAAATTTTGATTCTTATTGTTTTCTGTTTGTTTTTCCTTTTCAGGTTAAGAGTGAAGCTTATGTATAAATATAAGCTCTGCTTTAGCCTGCATCACACCTTCCCCAATGCCCCCCCAAATTGGGATTTGAACCCAGAGCCTCATGCCTGTGCTGATCCAGCACACTTGAGCCATACTCTCAGCCCTTTTGTTTTTTATTGTTTTCTTGAGATAGAGTTTTGCTAACTTTGCCTGGGCTGGCCTCAAATTCCTGATCTTCCTGCCTGTACCTTCTAAGTAACTGGAATCATCACACATTTTTATCAACTATGATTTTCTACCACTGAACTACATCCCCAAGGCATGGTTCCATTTGTTTTCTAATTTCCCCTGTGATTTCTTTTTGAGCCATGGGTTATTTAGAAGTATGTTGTTTAATTTTCAAATATTTTTGGATTCCTAAGTTTTCTTCTTCTGTCATTGATATTTAATTCCATTGTTGTTAAAAAACATTTCCTTTTTCACTTACTGAGTTTATTTTTATGCTCAGCCTTGGAGGTCAGAAAACTTTCTTTAAGCATGGTCATCCGTAAATATTTATGTTTTGCAAAGTACATATAATCTCTGTTGCATATTCTTAGTGTGGTTTGTTTTGTTCCCCCTCCACCACTATCTTCCCCCACCCCAACCTATTAGAAATTAGTTCAGTCACCATACAAAAACAGGCCATAAGTGGGATTGGCTCATAGGCCATAATTTGTTGATCCCTTACCTAATATGTGTCTCTTCTGGAGAATGTTTGATGTCCACTTGAAAAGAATGTGTATTTTACTCTTATAGGGTGAAGTGGTCTATAAATATTAATTAGGTCTAGTTGGTTGATAGTGCTATTCAAGTCTTCTATAACTCTGCTATTTTCTGTCCAGTTGTTTTATCCACTATTGAGAGTATAGTGTTGAAATTTTCAACTATTTTTGTTGAATTGTCTATTTCTTCCATCAGTTCCATGAGTTTTTATTTTATGTGTTTTGGGGTTGTTAGTTGTATGTATGTGTATCACTGTAATGTCTTCCTTATGAATTTTTCTGTCATTATATAAAATGTGCCTTTTTTTCTTGTAATATTTTTGTCTTATAAGTTTTTGCCTGATATAAATATGCCCAGTCCTCATTGTTTGCATGGTATATCTTTTTCCATTCTTAGACTTTTTTATTAACACATATAAATTGTATAAATTGAAGGGATTCACTATGATATTTCCACATATGCATGCAATGTTCATTGATTTTATTCATCTACCCTTCCACTTTTGCCCTCCTTCCCTGTCAGTCCCTAGTAATCACATACTTGGACTTTCTGCCTGTCTACCTTTGAATTTAAGATGTTTCTCAGAGCCAGGCACTGGTGGCTCATGCCACCTAGCTACTCAAGAGGCAAAGATCAGGAGGATTGAGGTTCAAAGCCAAGCCTACCCTATCCCCACCAAAAAACCCCCAAAAAACACAAAAAAGGGCTGGCAGAGTGACTCAAGCAGTAAGAGCACCTGCCTAGCAAGCATGAAGTCCTGAGTTAAAACCCCAGTGCTGCCAAAAAATAAAATGTTTCTCTGGTTCATAGCATGTAGTTGGGTCTTTTTTATTTGTCCAATCTGACAGTCTCTGTCTTTTGCTCAGAGTCATTAATACATTTACAATTGATGTAATTATTGCTATGCTTGGAATTGTGCCTGCTCTTCTGCTATTTTCTGTATGTCTCATTTCTTTTTGTCCTTTTATTTCTCCTTTGTGGCCACCATTTGTTTTAAATAATACTTCTAGTGAACTTTTAATTTTTTTTTAAACTTTCTTTTGCGGGGGTGGGGGAGTTGGATACTGGTGATGGAACAACGGGCCTTGAGCAAGCTATAAATCCCCAGCACACACATGTGTGTGCATTTTTTTAAAAACAGTCATTTTCTGAGAGGATGCTTTGAGGATTAACAATATTTTGACATTGTACTTCAGATTAATACTGAATTTTAGAAATAAAACACTTCATTATGCTTTTCTCTCTCCTTTTTTGTGCCTTTATTGATATATATTACATCTTCATGTTACTATAAGCCAAACATTGGTTTTCTAATTATTGTTTTATAAAATTTTCTTTTACATCAATTGAGAGAAAAATTATTAATATAGACTTTTATATTTATCTTTATAATTATCAGTTTGCTTAGTTTCTTCATGTGGATTTGAGGTATAATATTTTTTTAGCCTAAACTGATCCAATATTTTATAAAGCAGGCAACAAATGTGGGCAACAGCTGTCCTCAGTCTTTGCTTTTCTGGGAATGTCTCAGTTTTGCCTTCATTTTGAAGGATAGTTTTATTGGATATAAAAGTCTTAGTTGATAGGGTTTTGGTTGGTTTGGTTTTTTTCCCTATTAGTACTTTGAATATGTCATCCCTTATGACATCAAGGGAGACTTCTGGCTCCCTTGATTTCTGATGAGTCATTTTCTCTTGACAGTTTAATTATGTTTTGTGAATCTTTGCATTTTTCCAAATTTGAGCTTCTTAGATGTATAATTTTTTTTTTTTTGGTCAAATTTGGTAAGTTTTTGACCACTGTTTCTTCAAATATTCTTTTTTCCCTTCTTGTGTCTTTCTAGGTCATCCATTATGGTTATGCTGATATGCTTGAGTAATTTTAATTTAGAGGAGTAGTGGAGTCCAATTTACATCTTTTTAAGGCAGGGTAATACAGTATGGAGGTTGTTGTAGTAGTTGAAAAAAGTACTGGATGCAGGTAAAAGGAATCAAAATGTCTTTCAGGTTTCTGGTGGCTTTTATAACTCAGAATGGTTAAGCTACATAAAACAGGAAACAAAAGAATGGGATAGGTTGGCAAATTATATTCAATCTATGTTTACTTGATTTTCTGTATGTGTCAGTATTTGTTATTTTGTTTTATTATTGATCTCATTATTTGTAATAGATTATAATTTCATATCAAACTAATGCAGTGATGGAATTTCAGTTTTCACTACTTTAAAGCCATAGTCCAATAACATTTACTTAATAACTAAATGAATATGATGTTAATAACTGATTGCTACATAGAAGCATAAAGAAGGTATTTTATATATATGGAACGAAATATATTTACAGGGTGACTATAACCATAATCTAATTTCCCCCCAAAAGAAACTACATGCCATTAGAAATAACTCCTACCCAGTTCCCAACTCCTAGCCTTGGACGACTACCAGTCTATTCTCTGTCTCTTTGGGTTTGCCTGTTCTGGACATTGGAATCATATTATATGTGACTGGCTTCTTTCACCTAGTAATAGTATTCTCATGGTTCATCCTTATTGCATATATTAGTACTTAATTTCTTTTTATTGCCAAATAATGTTAGAGGAGGGTTGTGTTTTTACTGAATTATGAAAGTTTTTATAATCTGGATATAAGCCCTTTACATGATTTGCAGATATTTTCCCCATTCTGTAGGTTGTCTTTTCATTTTCTTAATGGCATCATTTGAAATACCAATGTCTTAAATTTCGATATTACACAATGTATCTATTTTTTTCGTCACTTTTGCTTTTCTTACTGTCTAAGAAATCATTGCCTAACCACAAGTAATGAAAGTTTACTTTTAAGTTTCTTGTAAGAGTTTTATAGTTTTAACTCTTAAATTTAAGTCTGTGTCTGGTGCAAAGAAGGAAGGCTCCAGCTTTATTCTTTCACTTATGGAGATCCTGTTATTTAAGGCTTTGTTGAAAAGACTTCTTTCCCATGTTGAGTTGTCCTTGGCCTTTTTCTCAGAAATTGACCATAAATGGATAGGCTTATTTCTGGGCCCTTGATTCAGCTCCATTGAGCTATATGTCTGTCTTATGTCAGTGCCATACTGTCTTGATTACTGTAGCTTTGAAATAAATGTGGATATCAGGTAGTCTTGATGAACTAGTTTAGACTCTTGACATTTTTTTATTTCACTCTTTCTACTAGAAAATGGGGACACAGAAGTGAGGTAACTTTCCCAAGGTCCTACATCTATAAATGACAGAACTGAGACTCAACCTTGTATTCTTTCTTCAGTATTATTTCTACCCATCATGATACAGTGTTGTCCTGACTTGCTACTTAATGTAAATAAACACAAACAAACATGAAGTATGCGCTAAGATATTCAGAAGCATTGAAGAAAGAATCAAAGCCATGTTCTCATATTATTCAAATCAAATAGATTTGCTTTTGCAAGGGGAAAAAGTTCTTTTTTAATTAGATGAAATATAGCAAATTATAAAAGTTACTGGATTATGGTAAAGAAGTTAGAATTGATCTTGAAACCCTTAACAATCAAAAAGTGTTTGCATTTGGAATTGCTCATCCAAATTTGAATGAATGTCTCCTTCATAGCTACTTTAATCATTGGAATTAAAACTAAGATGCGTGTGATAATATGTTAGTCAAAAAGTTGATGCTTGAAATAGTTCTTATTTCACAAATACTACAAATGTCTTTATAAAAGCACACCTATAATTTTATTTGGCAAAAGTAATAGTTGTTTGAGGTATAAGAAATTGTATTTTAACTTTTGTATATGTATTTGCCTTTCTTGCCTGAGGCCCTGAGTTCAAACAACAGTACCTTCCCCTCCCTTGTTTTTTTTTTTGCCTTTCTATCTTAGCATGTATATTGTTATTATAAATAATGGTAGAATTATGTTGGGTAAAGGAAATGTTACTCTGTTTTATTTCTTTAGCGGAAGATCCATCCAAAAGCTATGTGAAATTAAGAGACTTTGTGCTTGTGAAGCTTTGTCAAGATTTGCCCTGTTTTTCCCGGGAAAAGTTAATGCAAGGATTCAATGAAGATATGGCAATACAAGCACAACAGAAGTTCAAAATAAATAAGGTATTATACTGTAGGAGGAAAACCTTTAAATTTTAAAGTTTTTGTTTGTTTGTTCTTCTTTTTTTTTTTTTTTTGATGGCACTGGAGCTTGAACTCAGGACCTCACGCTTGCTAGGCAGGTACTCTACCAATTGAGCCCACTCCACCAGCCCAAAGTTTTTTTTTTTTAATTATTATTTTTAAAGTATTAGTTTAACTAAAACCTTGTAAGGACATTAAGAATACATATGTGAGGCCAGGTGCTGGTATCTTACACCTATAATCCTAGCTACTTGGGAGGCCAGCCACCCGTGGTTTACACCTGTAATCCTAGCTATTGGGAGGTTGAGAACAGGAGAATTGTGGCTCAAGGCCAGCCTGGGCAAAAACTTTGTGAGACTCTCCCCTCCCCCATCTCAACCAATAACAGGGGGAGTGGTAGTGTACAGTAAGTGGGCAAGACCCCATGTCAATGAAAAAAAGCTGGGTACCTTGTGCCTGCCATCCCAGCAGCAAGCAGCCTAAAATAGGATTATCATAGTCCAGGCCAACCTAGGCAAAAAGCAAGATCCTGTCTCCAAAATAACTAGATCAAAAAGGGCTGGAGGCATGGTTCAAGTGGTTGAGCACCTACCTAGCAAGCATGAAGCCTGGAGTTCAAATCCCAGTACCACCAAATTAAAAAAAAAAAAATACATGTGTGGCACCAGAAATCTAATCATAAAAGTGTATGTAGACATCTAGCAATTTTAAGCCAATACTTTTAGACAAATTTCCTAGTCAGTGCTTTTAATAGCTAGTGTGTATATATACACACACATATTTGTGTGTGTGTGTGTGTGTGAGAGAGAAGGAGACTGGGGTTTAAACTCGGCTTCATGCTTGCAAAGCAGGCATTCTACCACTTGAGCCACACCTCTGGTTCATTGGCTATTAAAATTTTAACAGATGCATGGTTATACCATTCTATATATGAGCTATATTTATTTAACCTCTCTTTTATTAATAGATACTTAAGTTATTTTTGACTGTTAAAAGAATGCTGCAATGAATATCTTTTATACAGATAACAACAACAAAAATATACATGTGGGAAATAATGAGTACAGTCTGAAGCAGACTACCCAGTTTCAAACCTAGATCAATTGCTCACTCAACATTTAGCAATTTAGTTTGTTACTTTGTTCCTCAATTTCCTTATTAATACAATGGAAAGATAATAAATTTTATGTCTGTACTAAATGTAATAAGATAGTAGTATCTTATTTGTTTTTAAAAAAGTAATTTAAGCTGTAAAGTGGTTATACCCCTGGAGACAGTGTTGGTGGGGAGAGGAACTAAAGTAAAACATGTAACGTTCATTTTATATATTTCTGAGTATTTGTTAAGATTTTAAAATAGTAAATACTTTAAGATAGGGATAGGACAAAATAACATGGAGTTCAGAGAAGGGAACTTTATTTCGTATATATATAAGTAAGGCAGAGTGTATTTCAGGGAGGGATGGCATTTGTTCTAAACCTTGAAGAATGGGTAGGATTTGGATTATGAAAGTATGCAAGTATGCAGGATGAATAGTGTTCCAATAATATTAAAAAACCTTGATACTGTTGACTACACCCCTCACTACCTTCCCCACATCCCTACTTTTAATACGGTACAGTTCCTATCCACTCTAATCTCTTTTGGAATAGTTTCACTGACTTGTATGCTTTTATATGCTACTTAAATATAACTTTTCCTTGGAGTCCTTTATCCTCATTTCTTCACATTCTGCTAAAAATTTGTCTAAATATCCAAACTTTTTTTTAAAGGAATTTTTTTAAATTCCTTTAAAAATTTTAAAAAGGGCCACTGAGTCCATTGTAATCTGGTTTCCTGTCTACCTTGCTAAGTCCAGCTTCCTACCACTCTCCTATATGCTCTGGCTTTACTGAACTGCTTGCCGTTTCCCAGTTATGCTGTATCTTTCTTCTGTGTCCCTTTATTTATACTATTTACCCCACCACTTTTTTGAGAGAGAGGGTAGTGTTGAGACACGGTCTCATGATGTAGGCCCAAACTGTCCTCAAACTCATGATCTTGGTGTCTCAGCCTCCCAAGTGTTGGGGTTATAGGAATGTGCTACCACACTAGGCTATACTGTTTCCTTTATTGGCAATACTCACTTCTCATGTTTTCCTGGCCAGATAGTACTGTTTTTGAGATTGAACTGTTCTTTCTAGGAAGTTAAAATGTCATCTTCTCAGCCTACCAATCTCCCGATTTATCCTGATACTCCTTTGACCATTTTTCTCTGTCTTCAGTCTGCCCTCTTTTTCTTTTGCCATGCTGGGGATTGAACCCAGGGCCTTGTGCTCTACTACTAAGCTATACCCTCAGCCCTCTGCTCTTTAGCTGTCAATGTACTATGTGGTCTGACATCTCCCCTTTTTTCACAATGCATGTTTTCCTCTGGTGAGCTAAACCAACTTCATTGTATTTACTGCTACCTGTATACTGATATCGCTTAAATCCTTACCCTTAGACTAGAATTGTATGTTCTGCTGCCTCCTAAATCTCCTCTGTGCTGCAAAAATTCACTGTCATTTGATACTGCCCTTCCAGTCAATTATTACATGTCTAGAGTCCTTGTCCCCTTGCTGTCCCAGTTCATGCCCTCATAGGGTTTTTCTGCCTGATTTAATAGCTTACCTTCTTAAGTGCTTTCTCTGCCCTTATTTTTGCTACCATTTGTATGCAGCTAAAAGAATGATTTACTTTTAAAACTCTAATTTGTACACATCACTTACATTCCTATTTAAAAGTCTGGTTCCCACTAGGTTAAGGTCCAGGTCTTTAACCCTGTATATAAGTCTCCATCTCCACTGCACTCCTATTCCTTCTTATTTTGTGCTTAAGTGTGACAGTGCTCTGTACTGCATGTATGTGTGCACACAGTGTGCCCTCCCCTGTCTAGGAGGATACTGTTCCTTTAAGATTCAGTTCAGGGCTGGAGGTGTAGCTCCTTGGCAGAATGCTTGTCTAGTGTTTGAGGCCTTGGGTTCCATCCCCAGTACTGCAAAAAGAAAAAAAAAAAAA